CTTATATCAACTTCGAAACTGTACATATTTAAAAATTGAGTTGTTATGAGACCATAACTGAGAAAATGTTGCTCAATGGGTTAGTCCAGTCGTAAATGAGACTTTCGTTATTCCCTTCCAGCCAAACCGATCCACGAATTTTAGAGTCTCTTTACATCCATAAACTTAAACCTAAATTGAATAACCAATCCATCTCTTTTCCTCATTTGGTTCTAGGTCAATAGTTGTGTTTTTTCCCCTTTCTTTCCTTATAATTTTCTAAATTTATTTACTAAAATTGATTTCCATGTATTTCCAGATGTATTTTACTAGCTGATGATGGGCATAGCCCAAAACATTCTGTTTTGTTTATCTATGACTTCTATTCAGTAAAATGTTTTATGCAACTTTTTTAGTTTTAGCCTTTATTCTTGAACTTGGAAGAACTCCTCGAGATATTGTCAAATATCTTTCAATATGCACCCATTTTTCCTGCACCCTGGATCCATTTTATTATGTAATATTGTTATGAGAAATTTAGTTATTATTCTGTCATAAACCCCCTGTCAATTTGGCTATATTTCTGTGTAAACATTTCTGAAGTCTCTGTGTACAGCTGTGAAAACTCTTGTAGTGAATTTATAGCAAATTACCTGCACGTACCGGTAGTGCATGATGTTACAATTAGGCTCTTGACACACACACTCAGACACACCAGAAGATGGAGAGGACATAGTTCCAGCAACACCAATGCCCAACACAAGACACACCAGAAAACCATGTACAACCTGGACTTCTGCTACAAAAAAAAAGGAAATTAATGAACAAGTACCAAATGTGCTTGATGATGAACTTTTTGCTGGAACTGGCATAGACAAGGCATCACAATCTTAAAACTCTAGAAGTCGCAAGCGGCTAAAAAGCACTGAATCTGAAGAAGAGTTAGGTGATTCAACAAATCCAACTGGAGGCTCCAGAGCCATTTCTAAACCTACCAGACCATTGGAAAATCTCAAGCAGCAAGATATTGTCCCTCAAATTCAACTGTTCAGTCATGTGGGAATAAAAGCACTGTTCTAATTAAGCAACAGTCTCTGAACATTAGCAAAATTTCTTTAAATACAATTTCAGTTGCTGCAGAACTAAACAATATAATTCAAGAGTCCTCAATCAAAGATGTGCACATAAAAAAAGACAAAAAATTGAACCATATGAATTCAGAACAAATGAAGAGGTGGCAATTAAAACCTTGCTCTCTACCTCTAAACTTGGAAAATGGCAAATTGAATGCTACAAACCATCATCTGACATGGGATACATCTGCTCTGGGGTCATTTGTCCAGTCTGATAAAAATGAACTTGATGACTTATTGAACATGCAAAGACAAGCTTGTAAAGTTATTGAGCTCTCCAGACTATCAAAATTCTATGGAGCATCAAAACAAAAGTCTCTGGGCTTGAAATTAGACTTTGAAGGTAACCAGCTACCTGAAAGTCATTTTGGTTTCATCTCGTACTGAGTGAGACCCTATGATTCACAACCACTAGAATGCTACAGATGCCAGCAACCTCAACATCTTGCAAGTGGATGTACCACTCTTGTATGCTGCCTGCTCTGCACTGAAAATCACTACAAGGATGTGTGTACATCATCAACATTCAAGTATGCAAATTGCAGAGGTCCACACATTGCCGGCAGCTGAGACTCAGACTGCAGGTATAATGTCCAAGCCATGGCCATAGATGCACTAAAAAGAAATGGAATGTCTTATGACAAAGCCAGAAAGCAAACAAATTTGCTATACTCATATCCCCATCCAAGAAGAGATTTACAAAATAACCAAAGTAGCCAGTCATCTTAACAAACACACAAGCAGCAAAGCATGTAGAAGTACATAGATCACAAGGCTCTTTCCAAGGAAGTTCACCCTGCTCAAATATCACACCATCTCCTGATATTACTTACAGCCAAGTGACCAAGTCATATGTGCCACAACTATCAAATAATTGCCCTATCAATGCAATCTCAAAAAAATCCTCTGATAGAAGAAGAAGCAATAGCCACTCTCACCAACTTAAGAAGTGAAATTCAGAAGCTCAGTTTAGCAAATTGCAATGTTTCTGAAAGAAATTGTCCTTACAGATTTCTCGAAAGAAAATAAGAAGGGAAAGAACTGCTGACCAAAAGTGAAACCAGAAAACACTTTGGCAGTAGTGTTGCTAAGACTTTGCTGAGGGAACTGCATGCAGAGGCCACATTACTGAAGAACCTGCTTCAACTGAGGCAACCTTTACAGCTGCTTGCACACCCACCTGTCCTGGCCCATCTAGCATGGCCATTGATGAACAACCAATATCTTCTCAAAAGAGACAAACCAAGACAGCTAGGAACACCAAAAAGTGGAAAACTTGAAATGGCTCATTCAAATTTCAATTCGGTTCAGCAACCTACCACACAAAAGTCCCAATTTGTGATATATCAGTTAAACTGCAATGGTCTGAGAGGCAAAGTATCTGAGCTGAAGATCTATATTTACACCAAAAAATCTGAAATATTATATTAATGCAAAACTTGGCTAAAGAAGAATGAGCCAAAATTTCATGGGTATCAATCCTTATGGTTGCATTGACTAGGAGAGAAAGGTGGCTTGGGAATTCTATAAGAGAGGACATTATATATATACATACTTTTAAACCAAAACAAGTGATCTCATTTCCAGCTGGTTTATTAGAGTATCAATTCATGTAAATATACACCAACTGTGACAGTATCAACATTCTGAATGTCTAAAACCCCTGTACCTGATACGTGGTGCACTGCCACTCACGCCTGACACATGGCACACTACCACCCACGTCTGACACATGGCACACTACCACCCACGTCTGACAGGTGGCACACAACCACTCACGCCTGACCATGTGGCACACTGCCACTCAAGTGTTCCGTTGCCACTAAAGCATAGACAAATGATAAAATTTAAGATTTGGGGTAACACATGCAAAATGAGTTTGTTTTTGTGAATGGCTTTTCATGGCCAATGTTGGCCAAGATATGGAATTCACGGCTCAAAGAAAGGGAATCACGGCTTGCAAATTCATAAAACCATGGCTCAGAAAATCCAGTCACAGTTCAACGAGTAAATATTTTCATCACTAGCTCTAAACTGGGCTTAACTAGCAAGGTACCAAGTTTTGTTGTTGTTGTTGACCCTCCCTGCCTTGCTTCACAGTGCAAGGCTAGCAAGTTTAGTGCTTTACTTATTTTCTTTGACAGGGAACAGGCTGCAAGGTGCTTTGGACACTACAACTACTCAGGTTGTAAAGCCAATTATAAAAAATGTAACTCAGTACTCACTGCAGTGAGTGACAGAGAGCGCATTTTCTCGTCAACAAAAATGTGAAGTCACAGATGGACAGACAGACAGACGGACAGACAGACATGGTAAGCACAATAGTGCATTTTTCCATCAATGAGTAAATGCGCTAAAAATAGCGCCTTCAGCTATTAAGTGTGACATCCCGTGTTGCAGCCCAGGCCAGGACTGTCACTTTGCCATCGCCGCTCTATTTCTTCCCAATTCATTGTGTCAATGCAGAGACTTTTTTAGACTCTTCCTCAAGTTCATTTTTGAGCACTATAAGTAGACCAGTAAAGTAGGTATCATATTTAATTTTGTTATATGGTGACTGAAGCCAAAATTTATCTGGCTAATCAAAAAAATTTGTTTAGGAAAGTGTAGATTGTACCACCACCACTTCCTGAACTCTACAATAAAAAAATTTTGTCAACTCATCTCCCTGAATTTCATAAGTATTACCGGTACTGTAATAATTTTCTATCGGTTTCTTTTGTACCCGTAAAATGGGGTAACTTAGACCACTTTTTTTATAAATGATGCCATTTTTTTACTAGCTAAATTAAACTTGAATTGAAACATGCAAAATACAGGTCTATACTCTAGCTTCACTCACCATAAATTACTGGCTCCTGCCTCTCATAGTCTATGTAATTTAAAAAAAAGTGAAGGTCTTTGTTACCCCAGCTCTTGGGGTAACTTAGACCGGGTGGTAAAATCAATTATATTTTTTGGTAAAATAACTCCAAATAACTCCAGGTTTTGTTGCATTGTAGTAGAACTCTTCTAGTTACATATGCAAATGACAAACTTGAGGAAAGTGTCATAGTTTGCAAATGGGGGGCACCGCCCCATAATGAGGGAAATGTGACTACCTAATGGCAGCCCTGATGGGGTAATATTGACTGGCTTGGAAATTAAGTTAAAATTACCATATATAAGACTCTGTAGAGTCTGAAACATAAAGAAAAAACATAAATAGGCTGTCAAACATAAAATATGTTATATATGGTAATTTTATATTAACTTCCAAGCAGGTCTATGTTACCCCGCCAGGGCTGACATTAGGTGGTCTAAGTTACCCCATTTGGGGGCAGCGCCCCCATTTGCAAACTATGACACTTTCCTAAAATTTGTCATTTGCATATGTAACTAGAAGAGTTCTACAACAATGCATCAAAACCTGGAGTTATTTACCCAGAAAATAAAAAAATTGGAGGGGGTACTCTGACAGGCTTTAAATAATAGCTTTTTTTTTGTGGGTCACATTTTTAATTATTTAACCTATTAGATATGCAAACTTTTCAAATCTTTCTATTGTGTTATGTAGCCTCAGTATTAGGCCTTTAATGCCCATTGACAAAATTTTTCTATGTCAAATAGTTTTTGAGTGGGGGTTTTTGTTAAAAAAACGAAAAGTCTAAGTTACCCCATTTTACGGTAATAATTTAAACCCGTTTGTTTAGATTATTCTCTCTGTCTAAGTATCCCGTTAGTATGATTTTTTAAACAATTTTACTCTTGTATGTCAGTCTCTGCTTGCTTATTACGTTGTGATAGAATAATTGTTACATGCTATTTTATATAAATTACTGTGATTAATGCAATAATTGACTCAAAATTCGACTTGGACCGCAACATTTATTTTCTTGAGGTACACGTATTCTAATGGCTACTATATTCCAGGTAATTAGTCTTTAGTCCAGTACAAGAAGCAATTAGTCCAGTATATACTGTACAGGAAGCAGTTGACTGCTTCAAATGATTAACTAGTTTTATTCCATATTTATTTAGGCAAATATTTAAATGGCATTTTTTTACAAGGCCTTTTCAAGCGGCCTCAACTTGCCTCCATTGTTTATCCAACACAACAAAATAATTTGTTCTGCTTGTTCATCTTCATTGGGCTGCTTGCCAAGGACCCAGTCATTGCGACTATTTCGTGCTGTCCCTGCTGTTAATTCTCCTGCCTCGAGTCACAAATTGTCACCCCAAGAGGCAAGTGAATAAAACTTAAGTTTTTATTTTCATTTAAATATTTTCCTGGTTTAAAATCCTACTTTTAAATTGGGTGACTTTGTCCTTTGTTGGGTGACTTGACCATTGTTGGCTCATAGGTACCTACCTTTTTGCAATACAGATAGTCACATAGTAAGTGTGATATCTCTTTATTGCTTTTATCATTTATCTCATGGAACATCAAAAAACACATCACAATTTTTCTAAGGCAAGAAATTTCTTGAGTATAGGGTTTACTTTTCTTGAAAGTCAGAACAGTCAAAGGGATTATATGCACTCTGTCAATGGTACAAGTATATAGGTAGTATATATATTTCATGGTATATAGACCTGTTTTTATGTGAAAACTTTTCAGTTCTCACAGTTTCAGTACCGGTACTGTACTGTCAAACGGGGAAAAAGGGATGGTTTAAGCGTTTTTTGTTAGTAACCTCTTACCATGAAACATTTCAGAAACAAGTTTAAGCTCATTTTATAGCTCTTTGTAAGGGCTATGGAATGGCATCTTTAAAAAAATTCCATATGCGATTCGTGAGGTGCCAGACGCAAAATAAAACCATCCTGATTTACCCCCGGGAATGAGGTAATCCTGGACACTTGCAATAAAAGTTAATTTTAAAATGTTTGAAGCATGCAGAGTGTACTCATCCATTGTACTCAGACCTTACTAGACCTCTACTAACTAAGAATTTAAAAGCAAAGAATAGTCCACAAAAATTCATATCTTTATAGAAAAAGTTTCGGAGACCAGCTCCATCGTCAGTTCGTAGAATCTAGAATCACAAATCAGAAGTCACAAATTAATACATTGAAACCATAGAACAAATTGAATTTCTTTAATTAACTAATTTAGATTTTTAATTTGATTTATAATTTTAATTTAATTTAAATTCTTAGTTAATTTGCAATTTAAGCATACAAGTGATATCAATTCTTTAATAGCAATCTACTAAGCGCCGCGCTTGTGTTGCATGAGGCATGGCCCCTGTCAATCGCTAGCTCGTCAATCGGTCAAGAAGCGTATGCAGAGGCTGCAAAGCGCCCCTGCATGCCTCTGCATCAAGAGGCTCTGTATTGCAGAGGCTGCCTCTGCATTGCTTCTGCAGGGAGGCTGCCTCTGCAGGTGCCTCTGCATTGCAGAGGCTGCAAAGCGCCTCAGCATGCGCTTTGAGGCACTTGATTCTCGTGTATTGCCCCTAGTGTGAACGGGCCTTTATATGTGTAGATGAAGCAATTTTTAAAGATATGAAACAAATCTAATATCCTTAACTCATTGATGGGGGTATACAGAAACGTGTACACCACCAGAAACATGTTCAGAGTTTTTTTAACTGGTATAAAAAATTATGCCCAATTCCAATATTTTATTATATGCCTCATTAACAACTCTCAAAACTGTTTACATATTTTGAAGGTACTAATTACTGTTGATGTTGCCAGCACGATGGAATAGGTGAGGTCTGGTTATTTGGTCTCTATCAACCGGTGGTGAAAGTAGTTTTCAGATAAGAATATGTATGTATACCATCAAATGGGGTAATAAGGGGCAGTTTTGAGCAAGTTTCATTGTATATTACCCCTGGGAACAGGGTAATCCAGGATGCTTGAAATAAAATGTTGACTTAATTTTAAAAAGTTTGAAACATGCAAAGTGTACTCATCTATTTACACTATAGTTTAGGTCAAATACTTTTCATTCTATGATGCCTGGTGCACAATTCTATATATAACATTCTATGCACAATTTTGTGATGACCGATGATGCACTAATTTTTTGATAAGTGACATTTTTTATTCGCTGAGCAAGGTAAATGTAATCAATATTCTTTGTTTTTTAGTACTCTGAAGTTCTCTTTTAGTTACAGTACTCTGAAGGCCTCCTCTTCCTTTATAAATGACATAGATGTAGAATAAATGACATTTTCTGTGATTTTTACCCATTTTTCTTTATTGATATATGATATTACCATGCCGTCAAACATGATAATAAGGGACGGGCGGGGTAAATCGGGACAGTCATTCCACATTTTGTAGAAATGTTTTAGCAGCTGAACTAATCAAAATATTGCAAAACTAAAAATAGTGGCATAAAGTTCAACATTTTTGCTATCTATTTAGCATAAAGCATATTAAGAAATCATTCATTTACTACCTCTAAAAAATCCATGGAAAAAAGTGTGAAAAGTGAGATTTTGGAAACATACCTCTGCTAAGGACTGTAGCAAATTAAAAATTTGCTTTATTAGTGCATTTTCTCATTTATGGAAAAAATGCACTATTGTGCTCGCCATGTCTTCTGTCTGTCTGTCCGTCCGTCTGTCCGTGACCTCAAGTTTTCGTCGACGAAAAAATGCGCTCTCTTGTCACACACTGCAGTGAGTATACTGAGTTGGTATATTTTTAAAAAATTTTACTGGCATAAAAGTTGCACACAGGTGTTAGCTTACAAACGTGATTTACAGAATTTGCATAGCTCATCTCCCCGAAAATAGTGGCCATTTCCGCAAGATGGGGTAATAAGGGACACCTCTAAAAATGCATTTACAGCAGAACCTCAATTAGCAAGGGCTCCAGTTATGGAAAAAACAAATAAAATTAACCAAAAAGAATTTTGGTTCATTTACCTCTCTCAGCAAAAAAATTCACTCAACAAACAAAAAATTAATGCATAATTTGTAATCACATAATTGTGCATAGAATGTTATAGATAGAATTGTGCACTGGGCAACATAGAATGGAAAGTAATTAACATAAACTATGATTTATTTCTCCAAAAAATATGATGGTTGTCACTGAAATATTTCTTTCCATTTCAGGTATGTTTTTACAATCTTTTTTGTTATAGTGAATTCACTTGACCCAATTAAAGGGGTGCAAAATTACAAGCCATCCTGGAAGCTTACAGATACAGAAATAATGCTATATGGCTGCTAATACGGAGCTTGCAGTGGACAAGGTTGTTGTCAATGCTCATTGGAATTTTCATGGATACAGTAATATAACATAAATAATACGGTGATGTATGGATATGGTAATATCATATCAATAAAGGAAAAACAGTACAAATAACAGGAAATATTATTATAAATTCCACATTTACATCATCTACAAAGGAAGAGGAGGACTTCAGAGTACTGTCAGTAATGGATAAGTACACTCTGCATGCTTCAAAAATTGTAAAATTGTATTTTATTTCAAGTGTCCCTTATTACCCCATTCCCAGGGGTAATTTGAGATGCTCTCTCTTGCATCTGGCACCTTATGAATATCATTTGGAATTTTTTTTGCAGATGCCATACAATAGCCCTTGCAAAGGTCTTTAAAATGTGCCCAAACTTGTCTGTGAAATGTCTCATGGTAAGAAGTTATAAACAAAAAAAGCTCGAAGCCGTCCCTTACTACCCCATTTGATGGTATTTATACTGCTGTTGTTTAATTAGCAATTAAGATTTATATAAATATAAGCTTCCTGAATTTGGTCACTCTATCATGTTGCTTGTTATTGAGCCAACCTGCCCAGCATTGCATGGACTTACTTGATTACTTCCTCCAATAATGTGCATAGCTTCCAAAAATTCTGGCCTATTACATTATCGTCTGCAAGTCACAACTCAAAACATATCCATTGAATTAGATCAACCTGACTCCAGCAAAGAAACCAGGAATGGTATGGCCCAGAAATGTCCACAACACATGAAATAATTTTACACCAACCAGACAGAGTATGCAAGAACGTTCCAGCATTCATTCTCTACACCAAACAGCTCCAATGTTCTTTCTCTGCATCAAATCAGCCATGATGGAATGGCCAATCAACTAAGGATTATTGATCTTTGAGCTAAACTCTATGATTTGATCCCCAACTTAATTACAAATTCTATTGGCTAATAGTATGAAATTTACTGCTCTTATTGAAGTTATTTCGCTTCCAGGGCCTGGTGATGCTAGGCAGGTTTCAGGCAATATCTTAAGAGAAGTAAGCTGATTTGTTGCATTATGTCATGGTGCTCATGTTCTGGTTATAGTTCAAGCTGGCAAGGCTACAAAGTTATGCTTCAGTGAAATGTTACTGGTATGTGGTGAACAGTTGTTACCCTTTAGGCTATTTATTTCCATATCAGGTGGTATAAAGCTCATAGTCTTTGAAACAAAATTATTTAATGAGCTGTCCTATCAGGCTCTGTCTGGATCTGATTGGCAATCTTACAGAAAGAATCTAGCCATTTAATCAGGGCTTATTTGTATTCAAAATGCAGGGCAATTTGTATTCAACTTTTTCATAATACTGCAATACTTTTCTTCTTGGAGTTTTTCAATAGGTGATGGAGCTATCCCCCTCAAATCATTTTCAATACAAACGTGGTGAATTGATGTAGTATTTTTGCTTTTAATATCTTGGCTAATTTGCTCACAAAATATAGACTCGACTCATAAGATTTCATTGACCACCGAGAGTTACCAGATTTTATAATCAATGTGCACAAATTGTCTTTGTCATGACATGTTGTTTTCCATATTTAATTATTGTGTTTATTTCAGGCCAATGTAATTCTGCGCCACAATGAGCACAGCATCCAGATTGGTGATGATCCCAGCAATGTTCGCACCACAACCACTGAAGTGACTCCTCCTCCACTCTTTTCTATCAGTTCAGTGGACTCGAATCAACTTGCTGCCAATGTCCCCATTGAAGATAAAATGTGCGCGGCAAGGTGCCTTCACACCACTGGTTTGTAAATGAATTTTGTCACTAGTAGGTCTTGCTAATTTGAATTTTGGTTACTGAAGAGAGAGGTAATCACTTGCTACCTTACTTCCCATACAGTTCCAACTGTGGAGTTTTCATTTTTCTCAAACCAGCTTTAATGCTGCTCATTAAAACTTAAATATATAGGCATCTTTGTAATATTTATGCCTTTGATTTCAAACTGATCTGAAGATATTCCTTCTTTTAGCTGCCATTATATACTATCTAGGGCTTGATGGTGCTAGGCAGATTTCCTGCAGCTCCTAAGGAGGACTAAGCTTATTGGTAGCATTACGGCATGGTGTGGCTAGCAGGTTACACCTATTGTAATAAATTAACCTGGCATTCTTGGTGGAAGTTTTTAAGATAGAAGTGTCAGATCACGCTAGAGTGCTGCTTTATTTTTCTCGGTAGCCAGGGCGTCCTCACAGCTAAGACTAAGGGAGCAGTGGAACATAGCAACGGAGCAACTGTCCTCAGTTACACGGCTGATGTAAGAAGCTGTACCTAGCTTGCTTCTTGCCGATTGTAGTAGAGCCAAAGCGAACGATCCACAATTATGCATGCTCAGGAACTCGTTTAATTGCCTTTGTGGGGTATCAAGGGTAAACTCCCCTCCTCTCAGATCTATTGGCAAGCATTAGACGGCATCAGTCCCGCCATCGGTCGTGTCAAGTCTCTGAAAGATTATTTTTTGATGAGATTGAAATCTGGCTGCAGCTTTATTTTGTAATGGAGTTGTACTGCTCCGTCTCCCCCTTCTCTTGCCATGGCATCTCACAATCTTGACTCATTTTTGATATTAGGGGCCAGTCCGGTTATTATTTTCAACGTGTACAGAATAACATACCTCTCCTTTCCCATCTAATGTGAATACAGATTCTTGCATTAGGTACGTAACAAACATGGTTTAACGGGATCACAGACTTGAAGTTTCGCATGACTGCTTTCAGTTGCAGAATTGCGAATTGGATCACAAGGGCTCTGAAGAGTGTGATTATCGGTTTCGCTTTTCTTGCTATGAAGGTCCTCGTGATCCTACTGACCTTAGTTCCCAACTTTACTCCAAAGTCACGAGCAAGTTGCGTCTCAATTTCTGTGCCGTCCAGTGGCAGGTACGTAGCGCTGTTCCATCCGAAATCATCTACCAACTCTCAGAATCTCTGACTTGCTTCCGTTAAAAGGCATGTTGTTCATTGGTGTCCAGTAATTTATTGCGGACATGTCTTCTTGCAGCCTGTCGCAGTCAAGCCAATCCATTATCGGCATGAGCGTCCTAGTGTCGTTAGCGAATTACAAGCACTCAAATGCCGATTTTATCGAAGACTTTCACTGAGTCCGAGTAATTACACCACCACGTCAGCCTTTTATTTTGTTTGATCTAAATGTGTTAGTGATGCTATCAGAGCGTTATCGATAACAGGAGCGTTATCGTCGAAAGCCGTGTTCCCTTCTGTTAAAAAAGTCAGCTTTCTCCATGCACTGCATCAACCTCTTTGCTACGAATTCCTCAAGCACCTTAATTACATGTGATGTTCATGTCACTGGCCTGTAATTTGGGGGTTGGTCTCTTACAGCGTCTTGGTAGATAAAATTTACTGCTGAAAACTTCTTCAAACTGCTCTCCTTGCTATTTGCACATTTCCTGTTGTTTTTTTTTTCATTTTTTCATCTAAGATGAGAAAATGTTTTTTTATGAAAGAACCCATTGTGGACTGTATCTTTGCCGTTGACTAGGCATATTGATAGAAGGAGCTATTGGAGATTCTCCCGAATGACATCCACCGCTCGGGCCTCTACTGCCCGCTCCTCGTGCTAGGGCCCATTATGATTCGTCTGTCTCATGGAATAATGCGTTTTTTTGCTAGTTTACCTCGGCACGTGACGCATTCATAGCTACTATTATAAAACGCATTACTTGTACATTTCTTCTATATTTTTTTCCTGAACTCTGAGCTCCAGTCAACTTATAAGGATTTATTTCCAAGTACGTTCTCTAATGGTGGAAATTTAGCCCAGCCAGACCTTGAGGTGTAGGCCTGGGCTGGTTCCCATTCCCAATTGTCGTCTCTAATCACCATCGGGGATGGTCTGACAGATTGATCTACTCAACTCGAGCATCAGCAACCAGTTCTTCATTGTTAGTGAAGAAAAATTCAGGGATATTGTGTCCCCTTGTAGCATGCACTCTTGTTGACAACGTATGCGTTCCTTTACAAGTTGCACCAATTCATTTTCCTGACTTCTGTCATGGTCCAAGCTCTCCAAACAAAACTGTTGGGATGTGACCTTCAGTTATGTTCTAGATTAAAGTCACCCTGGCAACTAATCGGGGTGGAGTCAGCCAGTTAAGCTACCTTGATCTCGATTACCTTGAGTATTCCGTTGAATGTAACCAATTGGCAGGCATGTGGTTGAAAGACGCAGAGGCCGAGTTGTTCCATGGGTTCCTAAGCAGAGCAAATGTTCCACAAAGCTATCGGTGTTCAAAGTCAATGCCCCCGTGCCACGTGCAAGGGAGTTCAAAAAGTGAACCAATCAAAACCATGCATATTGTGTTTTTAATTAATTAAAAAATCAGAATAAGTAAGCAAGGTAATTTCAAGAAATCCAGTTTTACTGTTAGTTTATATACAGATCAAAGTTAATCAAAGTTTTCTTATTTATTATTTGCGGCAACCCGTAAATGTATCCTAATTTCCTTTGTAACTCCAGGATTTTTGTTTGGTGTGTTCGATGGACACGGTGGTCCCGAGTGCAGTCAAGTGGTGGCCAAGAGACTCTTCGAGTACGTGGCCGCGGCGCTGCTGCCTTTGCCCCGCCTTAACAGCATCCTTAAGCAATGGAGCAACGGCGAAGACGTCCAGCTCATACAGGTGCTTAGACGAGTCGCGTGAAGTGTTTAGACGCGGTGTCAGAAGTATGTCTCGTACGCTGCCTAGACTATGAGCGTAGTATGACTTCTTTACTGGTAATGAGCCTTAGAGATTTCATAATTAATATCATCCACGAATTAAGATATTCGTACAAGGGAAGCTGTGGCTAGAATGATTGTAAACATTTAAAATTATATTGAGTTCAGTGAACAACACTTGTTGCGCATGGAAAAGCAGCTCTAGTGCTTGCTTGGTCATTTTATTTATTGAAAGTGCGAAGCTTGTAGTTCCAAATCTAAGTTAGTTCAAAAAGTAACAAATTTCACTTTAATGAATTAGAATGAAGCGAGTATCACGTAATAATTGTAGTGTGGCGTGCATGTTTGCCTTGAATAGTGTTAATACGATAAGTGGAGCATGTGTGGTATGCAGGTCTGCTGAAAATGGTGGAGATACGGCTGTTGAGCTATTGATACGCGAATGAAAGCTCGAGGATTATTGTTTTCTTGAGGCGGCTGAATGTTGTACACTAGTGATCCCTTAGCTACATTGGTTGTTAGACAAGTAGCGATAGGAGGAGCTGTTAATTTAGACGATACCTTTATCTATCCATTCATACTAATCACGCTCAAAATTAATGTTTTGCTTTATTAACTCCATTGACGGTTCAAGTAATCGGTGACTTTTTCCCTTTTGAAGATGAAAGAAAAGAATAGAGTTACATAATTAATGTATTCATCATGTCTCAATTGAGAAATAGAGCAGTAAGCCTGCTTGGCCGGCTAAGCAGCTATTATGATATTAGCAGTATTGTGAGCCGGCTGGTAAAAAGTTGCTTGCAATTCATTTTAGTAGAAAAAGTGTCGATACTAGAACTAAAAAGGAAATGTTTCAAGAAGAGATTAAATGCACTCGTTATATTCGTTTACTACTTTATATGCAGAAATTTATGAACGGATTTTATTGCGCATAATTGAACAAATCTTTACTATAGCGCAGCTGGTACATATCGTCAGGCCAGGCAGCTTGCATGGTGTTGCGAAGTGTTGAAGTGACATGATCAGCCATTATGCGATCGTTTCGAATACGGTAAATATTTATATTTTGTTGAAATGATATTTTAGAATATTTTATTTTAATAAAATATTCTGAATACCTTACTTCAATAAAATATTTTATGTAATACGCTTCATCAGGCATAGTTGACAGAAGTTTGAATTATCTCCTGCTATCCCGCGATGAATATGAGACTAGGACTTCACAAGGTGTCGTAGATGGAGCAGTAACTCTTCCTCCCTGATGCCATGCTCGCCCTCAGGTGTACCACGACAAGTCTTCGTTTGTTCCCGAGCTGGCGGCGCTGTACCAGACATCGCTGGTGCGGTGGTGTCAGCAGCTCTCCGTCGAAGGCGGGCGTCATGCGTTCAGTATGCAGCAGGCGCTCGTAGGGGCGTTCGAGCGTCTCGATAGCGACTTGGGCGAAGAGGTTCAGCGCGCGCATCTCACCAGCCCAGAGACCCAAGAAGCCCTGGTAAGATCATACTTGCTCCTGACATATTTTCCAGCATTTCATTCCTAACATGAGTGAAAAGTTAGCTCTCAAGTCAATTTTTCAAAAATTTCTGTACAATGTTCATTTCTTATGCTTAGCTGTGTTTAATTCTGAACTACGGGGGTTCCTTTTTCGGAGACGGTTTTGAGTCCAACTGCGAGTTTCTATCTTGCCGAGTTTTCGTTACTGGTTTTCACTGTAGGACCAACCAGGAACTTGTGACAATGCGTACACGTTTGTTGACCGCTTGGTATGATTAAGGGGAGCGTCTGGGTCCAAAATCGACAATTTTGGCTTTTCCGGTTTTTAGTCTCACCTTAAAGCTGACATTCTGCCCTATCCAACGGTACCACTGCCATCTCTCTGCGTTGATTTATGATTTTACGACATTTCATGAAAGGGGGGCGGGTGGGGGAGTTCTTTAAGTAATTAGATAGGAACTAATTGGCTGCTGAGCTCTTTAAATATAGTGTCTACTTGAGTTGTGCTGCAGTTACGTGTTTAGTCTCCTCTTAAAGCTGACATTCTGGCCTATCCAACGGTACCACTACCATCTCTGTACGTTGATTTGTACGTACACGACACTTCATGAAAGGGGGGCGGGTGGGGGAGTTCTTTCAGTAATAGATAGGAGATAATTCGCTGCCCCAGCACTACAAATATAATGTTTTTGTGAGGTCTGACTCAGTGTGCCTCCGGGCTTTGTAGGGAGAGATGCGCATGTAGTTGCTCCCATCATCCTTGAGTGGAATCAAGCTCCAGAAACGTTTAGTTTGGTATCTATGCTACATTGAGCGCAAATTGTGGTGCGCGCGGGACTTTGTCGCGCTCTCCTGAACATTCACACTTATTGTCACGGAAATCTCCTCCTACAGTTTTCAAGCTACAGCATTGAGAGATATACCATTCGATTTGCAAAGAAGAGATCTACAAAAGTGTGTTTGGGTTTTTGTTATTTCGTTATAGTTTGGTAGATATTCAGCAAAAAGGGGGGCGAAAAGGGGGTGACTCGAAAATTTGACGAAAATTTTGCGAAAAATGACCCCCACATCCACAAAAATTAGAATTTCAAAAAACCCAAACACACTTTTATAGATATGGTCTTTACGCATTGAATGATATGTCTCTCAATGTTGTAGCTTGAAAATCCTAGGAGGAGATAGATTTCTAATAAAAAAGTTTTTCTGGAGGCCAGACGCTCCCCTTAAAGCGCCTAAATATCGTCATATTTGTTTCATATAATACATTTTTAATTAACATTCCTATCACAGTAATTTAAAAAATTTACTTAAAAATTTTGTTTGAACGTGTGAATGAACTTTTAATTGGTTCAAACTGCTTCTTTTCAACATCGCTTCTTGAATTGTCAGTTAACACTCGTATTTCGTGTTTGCTGGCATGTTTTACTAAGAAATTTAACTTTGGGGCTTGGGTTTTCCCTTGGCCCGTCCATTGCTACTATTCTCAATTATTTTCACGAGGTTTCTAGGCTGACTAATTGTCCACTTATTATAATTCTATATTCAATAAGCGCTGTGTCGATGAAACTTTTCATATTTTGAAGTATCTTTCTAGTGTTAGTTTTTTATTTGATTTTCATAACCCGAAACAAAAGGGCACTAAATTTGCCACGTAGCTTGAATCGAACAAGAGTTTGTCATTTCTCAACAGTAATATTACTAAATTTAATGGTTGTGTTCATTCTGCTACTTTAAAAAATCCAATTTACTGGTTGAAGCACCAATGTGTTGAGAGTTACGTTAATTAATTGCAAGTTGAATGGGATTCAAACATTCGTGCGTCATGGCTTTTTGATTTGAACTAAATTCCGTTTGTTGATTTCAATTTTATTCTTGCACGTTCTTTTTAACCAAATAGGTTTCGGTCACACATGGTGTTTGCTCAAATCAAGAAATTCATGTCAAGCGACCTACCGAAGTGGTTCCCTTGTGTTAGTTATTGTTACCGCCGTCAGGCAAGGTTGAGGTTATTACCACCTGTTTGTCTATGCGCATTAAGATGCTTCAGTTGACCACTTGTTTCAGATCCGAGTGGCCGTGTCGGGTAGCGTGGCGTGCGTGACTCACATCGATGGACAACACGTGCACGTGGCGAGTGTTGGCGACTGCGGCGCTCTGTTGGGACGCGACCGTGACAGCGGCCAGGGGACTGGGTCCTGGTCCCTTCATAAGCTCACTACCAACCATGACTGGGAGAACCCTGATGAAGTCAAGCGTGTTTTGGACGAGCATCCTCGGTCTGAAGCGCCAAACATCGTGAAAAACCAGCGACTCCTTGGCGCACTTATGCCTTTCAGAGCTTTTGGTGATTTCCGATTCAAGTGGACACAGCAGGAACAGCAGGACATTCTTGGAATAAAGCCTAACCGAGATAGCTTCATGAAGTTCTGTTTAACGCCACCATACCTCACAGCCAAGCCTGACGTAGTGTACTATCGTCTAAAGCCTTACGACCGCTTCATGATTATTGGGTCAGATGGTTTATGGGAAAGCTTAAGCGGGTTAGATGCCGTAACACTTGTCGGCGAGTACATGTGTGGTCGCCAAACCCTGGCCCCCGTCCAGCTCCCTGCCCGCCCCATCACTCTTGGTGAAATCGCCCAGATCTTAAACCAGCGACAAGAAGGCTTGCGCCTCAAGCCTGTAGACACAAACGCCGCTACGCACCTCATCAGACACAGCGTGGGCGCCAGCGAGTCAGGCTTGGACCACGGCACCCTTGCACATGCCCTCACTCTCGCCCCTGAAGTACGGCGATATTTCAGGGATGATATAAGCGTACATATTATTTTCTTTGATCAGGAATATCTCAGATTTTGTCCTCTTGACACATAATTATGTTCAAGCCATATAGTGCATGTAAATAGTAACTTATTTGTGTATATATTCGCTGATAAATGTTCTTGATAGTTATGAACAATAAAAGAATTCTCAACACACCTGTGTAAACATTTATTTGTTACGCAAGTGACTGTTAATTTTACGATGTGATTTATTTTCATTTTACAAGACTCGAGGTTGTTAAGTTTTATGCCTTATTTTTTAGTGATTATTTTTTGTTATTGAATTCTCAGTCTCTTTGAAGTTCATTTCGCTCAATCGGCATCCCTAAAACTCGCTTCAATCTAATGTTATGTGCAAAACTGGCAGGAGTATTCAGTGTTGCACGAGAGAGATAATCCAATCCTTGAGATTTTGAAATCCTTATTTTAAAATTTAAAGGAAATATTTTTCAGTTTTGAATATAATTCAATTTTTAGTAAATTTTACATTTAAAAATTTGGTTAAAAAATTTAATCCAACTATACAATCGTTGTGCAACATTTTAAGGTCCCCTAGTATAGGAATGGTGGATATGTGTTGCTACTATACATTTACAGTCTTCAACAGCAAGTAAAAATTTCCTTAAATGTATAATTAATTCATATTAGCTTGCTGGAAACTGCGGGGTTACAATCTTCCTGCAGAATTTTGTTATGGATGTAGTCGTGCTAAGTTCAAAATTTCGAATATGCGATGAACCGATTGTAAGAATCCAAGACGGGCGTGTGACTAGAGCTAAGTCATGCAATAAATAATTTTAGCTGAAAAGTACGTTATATAACTGGTTTTGCGGCACAGTAACCTCATAGAGTCAATCTTATAGTTTTTTTTTTTCGAAACAACCTTCACATCTAGATCATTATTTTCGACTGTGTTGTGTCGATGGTGTTGCGAGTCAACTATTTATTAAAATATAACATTTGCTCCTTCAGCAGCCGGTACTTATCTCTATGAGAACAAGTCGTATCTATACGACTATATTCATTTCCTATTTTGACGAAGATTCCAGGATTCCAGTAATTTCATTTGCAGTTCCAGGGAAGGACTATCAGAGACAAGCCTTTTCTCTGCGACATTACTAGCCTCACTAATTGGGGCTGTCCTGTATTCATTGCGACTGTCTTTGTATCTCTTTCGGACATCCAACGTACAGTGTAGTCGATCTATAGTTCGAGTTTCTTATATTGTGTTGCGACTCACATTTCTTTTTTCGTTACTCTCGGATGCAAGCTGTGCTTCTTTTCTAGTGTAGTCATGGTCACTCCATCAGATGGTGGTGAACATTTTTGGAACTTGGGGGCGAGATATCTTGGTTCCTGCGGCCCAGCTAAGCTGGTTTGCCGCCATACCACTCACCTACGCCATCTGTAACTTATCCACCTAAATAATTCTCGCTGGGGAATCTTCTCTTTCAATTAGCATTTGATTGTAGGAAATGCTGTCATTTATTCATTTTGGCGCTTTTATTCACCAACCGTACAAATTAAGCTCAGGCTAAATAGGAACTCAGCTTAAACAAACTGGGAACGCTGTGATAAGAGAATAAGGTTGTTAGGTTTGCATTAGATCGCCTAATTATTTGAGTGTCTTGAAGCTACCTGCAAAATGACTCACCTTCAGCGCCTATGGTTATAAAATTCAACCATGGCAGCTCATGTCTCATCCCTTACCGGATCTTCTGATGGCGTCCATCACTGGGGCGTTGAATATGGCACGGGAAGGAGAATTACAAACGGAAATTAATTCCATAAATACATTTTCATTGTAAGTTCTAGCTGGTATAGTAGGTAATGGTATTCAGTTCCGATTGCATCGCAAATTTCGAATAGAATTAATGGAAAAATAATAAATATGGAAATAAGGCTTAGAAGCTTTAAAGGAACCGACTGCTCCGACTTCAGATTGATGTCTCACACTACTGCTGCTCTGTCTCACCATCAATGGCGTAGTAGAGTTTTTCCTAGGTGCGGTAAACTGTAAAAGCTGATAGTTCGATTGTAATTTGAAAAGGTGGGCGTCAGCGTCTTGATCGGCGAAAATCGCCTGTCAATGTTGCGATTGGATAAATGTAATCATATTCTTATGATTAGATGCTCAGTGCCACTTTGTTTCTAAATAAATTGTGTATGAATTAAAATTTCATTGTACTGTATACCAATAATTTCAAGAGTTGTTGTCGATTCATAAAATTAGAAACGTAAACTATGGTTGGAATTCATCAAACTGTAAACATTAAGTGGGTTTTTTGCTTGAAATACATTTATTAATGATAATAATAGCGGTTTCAGCGTTTAGTTGGCCGTAGGCCTGTCGCTGATTCTTAACATGGCAGAACATCCACGGCATTTTGCGGTCTCGAACTCGCAACTCACTGCTACAATTCTGCTTTGCTTAACCGCCCGGCCTCCTTGCCGATTCTCCTTGCCGATTCTGCCCAGAAACTGGCGCACAGAGCTGGGATCGAACCCGCGCCTCTCTGCGCCAATCTTGGTACTCTGAACTGTAACCACAGGGCCCCCTGTGGCTTTTCAGTATTGACTGAAGACAAGTTGTTTCTGACTATTTTATGTTCGTAAACTGATGCTGGGCAAGGAAAAATCATGATTTATGTGGGAGATGCCGAATGATCATTAATTATGCAGTGGGTATTTAGCTTGATTCTCATTTATTTTAACAATAAAATTGAGCGGCGTTATACTGATGATTTGGCGCGTTCTTATTTTACTTGGACTGAACTTCGGCGTTGGCGTACTGTTCGTAGGTTTTATGGTAATTTTTTAATTAATAACTGAAGAATTGAAATATTTTTATTTTTCAAGATTGTCTAGCGCTGTTCCACTAGTAGCTCACGGGTACAATGAAAATGAGCCCGAATGCAAGCATTTCAGCTTGAAAATGAGCCCTAATACAAATAAAGTTGTGCCTGGACACTTGTTAATGATTCCAAGTCGCTACTCGGATCTCAGTTGTCGACAAGGAAAACTTCACATCTAATCCCTAAATCAGAATTATTTTAGATAATATTTATTCATAGTAACGTTTCCAACGTTTTATATCGAATTTAAAACTTTTCCACCAGCTCTAATTATGATTTTGTCTCCGAAAAATCAATAATTACAACGAGTATAATACAGGGTCCGCCATATTTATGGCAACGCATGTTTTTTGTTATTTCTCAATGAAACAAACAGGTGCATTGTTTTTTTATTGGAAGAGCTAGTAGCCAAGAATTACCTAAACAATTCTCAGACATTTATTCAATATGACCGCTCTTATATTTAATGACGGCCTCCAATCTACGCCGGAAAGCTTCACAGGAGACACGCAGCATTTCTTGAGGGATCAAGTCCCATTGTCGTGTCAATTTCGACTTCAAACTATCCAAAGAATCTTGAGGTGTTCTGCAGACCCTACTCTCTAAAATAGCTCACACAGAAAAGTCGAGAGGATTCAAATCAGGGCTTCTTGAGGGCCATTCATTTTTGCTAATGAATGCTGGGATGTGACCCTGAATCCAGTTTTGGGTCATGTTTGAGCCATGTGATGGGGCAGAGTCTTGTTGAAAACTCCATGGTGAGCTGTTGAAGTGTTTACGGGTCCAAGGTAACAACACAGCTTCCAAAATGCTCGAAATGTATCGCTGGCTGTTCAATTTCACTCCTGAGGGGACAAAAACGAGTGGGGACCTCCCACTGGCGGTTACCGCGGCCCAAACCATCACGAACATGGGATTTTGACGTGTTGCTGTCTGGTTGCCACAGATCCATCCCGACTCCAAACTCTGTCATTTTGACGGCTAACGCTTTGGCCTTTGTTCAATGTCAAATTTTTTCTCGTCACTGAACACCAAGTTGGGCAGCGTGCCATCCTCAATGAGATCCTGAATGTGCAGGCATCTTTCGAGCCTCATTCGTTCATGACGGTCTGTTAGCTCATGCCTTGTTTGCATCTTGTAAGGGGAGGTTTTGAGGCCATCTTTGAGGACTCTACGCATTGATGTCTGACTGACTCCTGCTTCTGCAGCCAATTTTGCAGCTGAGCGACGAGGGTTTCTCCTCAACTTCTCTCTCGAGTTTCTCATCAACTTCTACCTAGACCAATTGTTTTGTTCGGACACTTCGTTTCCTTCCTTGACCAGGTCGATTGCATGTTTCACCAGTTTCCTTGACTTTTTTTACCGCCTCCCACGCAGTTTCACGACGCATTTGAAGCTTTTTTGCAATGACTGAATTACTTTCGCCCTTTTCATGAAGTGTTACAATTGCATTTCTATCTACTGCCATAAGTAATGGTTAATTTAGACACCTTAGACTTCTGAAATATAAAATGGATGAATTAATAGACGATATTAAGCTTCATTATAAAAGAAAAGTCTCCTAGAAACCAATTTATTTTTACATAGCAAACATCCGTTGCCATAAATATGGCGGACCCTGTACATTATTAGTGTACTCATTCCCAGCCAATCAGTGAGTGGGATTTATACTCACACTTTGAGGGGCTGCTGCAGAAAGTTATTGGTCTCTCAAAACTAACAGACTAGCAGGGCGTTTGGCACAGGCATGAATGAAAAATGAAATTAACCATCGCTCGAGGCGCACGCTGAACTAAAACCAAGATTAGTTCAACCATGACTAATACAATTCAGTTCGTACCAGATTCACTGAGGCCATCATGCATAAAACTACTTATACATATGCCGACTTATTATTATTATTTAATTTACACTGTTTATATTGTAGGTAATCGAAGAAATAGCAAATGCGTTGATGCCGCCGCGTACAATCTTATCAAATTAGAATTAACGTGTTTTTCCAGTAAATCTCATATCATTTCTGAAAAAAACAATTGTACATTTTCAACAGAGCAGTGACTCCAGCGATGTAGTTATTAGTCGAAGTCTTCAAAATATCTCAGTGATGACAAACTTTGGTGAATTATACTGGCAATATTTTGCCAGATACATTTAACTATCAAGTCAACTCTAAGGGCGATAAATCGAGGTTAAAAGTAACGTTAGTAGTTATTGCTCTGGGAGCAACGAGGTAAATATAGGACACTATGGATTGGTATAAAATTTGGTGTTTACGAATGCCTCAGCTACAAGCCTGGCATTCACCCACGAGGACCGAAGATCGTTGCAAGTAATGCACCAGCGTAATTGTAGCAGTTCATGCTCAAATAACAATAAGTAATTAATTCAGTATCATTGAGTAACTTATTTTTTCATCAAACTCCTTAATGTACTGTTTGATGTTTGTAGTTCGATGGCTTGTATTCTTGAAACCACCAAGCTAATGTTATTTAGCTATTCATGACCATAGAATTAGCTTTGAAGAAGATTCAATTTGAAGCCATCTGACCCAATAATCATGAAGCGGTCGTAGGTCAATAATCATGAAGCGGAAGAGTAGGCCACATCAGGCCTACTCTTTACAGCCGACATCACTATGCTATGTTAATGGTGTTAGAATATAAATTACAGATGCAATGACGTGACGAATATTTTTTAATCAACGATTAAAAATGCTAGTGCCTGTGCACTAGCATTTAATACTTGACCCTAAAATTTGATTATATACGTGCAACTTATAAAGTTTGCCGTTCACCATTTGCTTCTCAGGACAGTAATTTGTCGGTATCACATCAATTTATTTAGGCATCACTACAAATGGGTCATCAAGGTGTATAAAGCTTAAAAATCAAATTATATGGTCTGGCAATCGGTATGAACATTTTTTGTGGGTGTAAACCAGGAAACTTTTGATTCGTTCTATTATTTAAACCATTAAGTGCATCGATACTCTGATTCAAAAAGTTATAGAATAACAACATCCATGCCCCTGCGGGTGACCGCGATATTATGAAGATATTGACAGAAACTTAACAAACTATTGTTAGCGATCCAAACATATGGAATACAGGCGTAGTAAATAACGACTTAAATCTAATTGTGCTAACGACCACAATGCAAGGATTTTTTAACTTAATCAATGGATTTTTAAAATTATAGTATAAGTATTTTTAAACTTAATCACTAGTCAACAATTATACCTACCTACCTAGGAGCCGAAGGTAAATGCGTTTTTGAGAGAGGTCGGACATTTATTTCTTGCGAATACATCAGACTCACATAGAAAGAGAAACCAATTTCCGTTTTAAAAGCAATACTTTTTTCGGGTGATTTGAAGCCATTTGGAGAGAAACTTACTTCAGTGTCGTTATAAAATTATAGAATAAATTGGTGGACATGGCCTCGTACACTTCTTTGTATTCAAGTCCCATTCAGATCATATTGCGCCCACAATGTATTTATTTGTATTCGTTACTTGATTATGTGCTCGCACGTCGGAGATTGGTGAGGCTATACGTACGCTCTTGGTTTGACTTTCTATGAAGTAATACTTTTCGTGAGGCAGCTGCTATGCTAACATTAAAGAGCGAATTTAGGCGCGAGATCTACTAGCAAGAAAATAGTTATAATCAGTGCAGAGAAGCATTGATAGTTATCGTTCTCTGGATAATTTTGGTAACTTTTACACTTGTTTTCACTCTCGAATTGGAATATTATGGTCCATGGAGCATGAATATAAGATACATGGTTTTATATAAAAATAATGACAGTTTAACAAAATTTTTCTGAATAAATTTTTGCACAATTCTAACAACAAGCGATAAGATTTATAATTTATTTGAAATAGCGATGGTAGAGGATCTTCAGGTTGAGCACAACTGGTTGTTGATGGCATCTTCTATTTCTGGCCCCTTTTTGTTGATGTTCTTTTGTAACTGAAATCAACGAATTTTTAATTAAATTATACTGGTAGATAGTACTGATGTTTTATGTATTATTTAAATTCAGCTATTTGTGTTCAATGACGAGACGATTTGCATGCTCAATGTAAAAATTTTTTTTCTGATTGATTGTTTTGCTAATCCTTGAAAATGGAAAATGGAACGTATTATAAAGACGAAAAAATATGTTATGCGATGAAAAATGATGGAAAGGAAGATTTTCAACTAGCATGCAGACCTGTTCATGTTCATGCATATTAAATCAGCAGAAATAATTTAGAATTGGTCATTCCTTATTTTGCTTCCTATACATTAACAAAGCAACATCCGTATCAGATCACGAACTATATGATGGCTCGATGAGAATAGTTAATGCCATAATAATTAAATTTGATTATAAATAAGTATCATTTAAAGTTAGCAACATCCTCTTTTAGAGAGTGAGAGATGTACTGTGAAAGATAATCATTACTGAGAAGTGAGAACATCGGAGATGGTTGCTAAATCTGGGTCTGGCTGACGTGTTACATAATTTCAAAATTTATTTTCCCTCAACAAGTAATTATTTTTAAAAATAAATTATTAATTATTATAGTAATTATTCTTAAATAAAAAAAATAAAAGTATATACATTAAGTTATTGCAGGAGGATGATATTTCGGAAGACAGTTCAGAGAGCGACATAAAATCAGCATTAAATCACTTACTTCTTCCAGGATGAACGGGCCTGCCTTGTCCATGTTGCTATTTACTTGTTCCATTCCTTCAAAGTTCCCCTGAAGAAATTTATAATAAGGTGAGAAAATTTTAGATTTAATAAGTTTTTCATAATTTTTATGAAAGAATGTTCATGTAATGGTAAACGAATTGATAGACAGTGAGATTTATATTATATATGCAGGATAGGCATACTTTGTTATAATATGTTATAATACACGAGCTTTTATCTTGTTGATTGCTGGCATATCGCATGTCACGGCATGTGTCTATATATCCTCCTAAAATGACACCTAAGTTTATTACAAAACGTTTGAGAAATAACTGTTGAACTGTAGCTGACCAAAATTTTCGATGCAGCATTACCAGTAACGTACAGTGTTTGGTAATTGCTATGATATTTGATATCACTTTGTATATCGGCAAGGTTTGAAGATGACTTACTCTACATTTAACCCAGATACGGTGAACTATCGTCTGACATTACTAATGTGTGTGAGTCACAGTGACACAGGATGCGATGAACAATATTGATAGTGAAGCATTACCTGACATCACTAATGTATTTAAGTGACTGACCGTGATGCTGGAGGCGGAGAGGTTGATGTTGAAGGAGTTGTAACGCAGACACACTCTCAGAGGATCAGACGAGAACTCTTCTGTCTCAAACGTCACGTCCAGCACCAAATCCGCGAACGTCAAACTGCATGACATAAACATAATTCTTAATACAAAGTATTCAAAACTAGACAAATTTAATTTTATTTTAGTTATATCAATTATAATATAGTTGTTAGTTTACGACTCGTTTGGCCACATGTAAATGTAGATATACTCGTAGATAGGCTATAAGGAGATGATCACATGTATCTAATTAACTAATTTACATGCTGTCCATGGCAAAAACAGCAGTTAAAATTATTTGCGCTTCAAATAATGATGATATAATCTGAAAAACGCCTCTCAATTTAATTGTTTAATTGATAAAATAAACACGATTCACTAGTGCAAACAAGTTTCGAGCGCGACGTGACTGAGATTAATTTGTTGTGAGCGGCTGAAAGAATACAATGATATGATCTTTGTTATAAATAGCAATAAAATATATGTATATTTGTAAACATAAGTTAAATTTCGAGAATGCTGAAAAGAAAAGTAATAGGCTGGACATTCGGACCGGAAAAATGGTCTCGAAAAAGTTTGGTGGCAATTTTCCCGCACGCGCATTAAAAAAACACGAGATACACGATCCTTCATCGCATCGTGCCTGGTCACCTCGAACCTTGCGCTTTGCGAGTATTTTTTTCTTCAACGATGTAAATAAATAATAAATGTGAACATTGTCATTGATCACACATTGATCAGTTTGCATATTAAATGATAGAACGTAAATATTACATGAAATAGATGTTTTAATTTTCATGGTTTTAATGAGATTTACAGATTTAATGTTGTAGCATCTGAGCTATTTGTACCACATAAGAAATAAGTTGAGAACTCCGAATGTTGCGCTTCTCAATATGCGCTCGCCAAAACCGTTACTTACGCAGGCTTATAAAAAAAGTCTGTGATTTGAGCAAACTTTTACGTATTAGAATTTTTCAGACTGAACCGAATGCGAAAACATGACAGGGATATAACAACTTATTTTATGTTATATAGGATGAAGATTTTGTGCATGTATGGGGCAATGCATATTAGGCAATTCTTTTCGTCTCATCCAAATTTTTGCGAATTAAAACTAATTCCTTAACCGCTAAAGTCTAAGTTTTATTTATTAGTAATGTAGAATTGGTTATTACTGTCTATATTTGGAACAAATTTTGAAACGCAAATGAACAAACTCTATGCAGTCTAGTTTACCGCTCAGTTCCATATACAGGATCGACGTAGCGTTGTAAACTCCATCGTAAGCGTTGTAAAGTCTACACGATGCCTTATAATGTACTGCAAGCAGTGTAACAGTAATTCAAATAATGACTAGTTGTATAAATAACATCATGTACAATTAGTAGTAAAACTTCATTGAATACTTATGAAGGCGGTAAATTGACGTCATCTCTCAAATTACGATTACCTATAAAAATACAACGCTCAAAACACTCTTTTTAAAATTCAAGGGCCCTGGCTAGGTCAGATTTTTCTTCAGTATGAGTTATTGTAAGCTTACTTGGCAGCTCCAGAGCCTTGCACCGGACTGCCGAAGAAGGAACCTGTCATGTTATAACGCTTGGCTGTGATCACAACTGAGCTCATACCGATCGACAGCTTCAACTGAAAGTAGAGAAGATATTGAAAATAATTTATTTGCTTGCGAATTTGCTTTGATCAGTGGAATGGAATAATATGAAATTTCATTAACTAATGCAAAGGTCAATAGAATCTTTTCATACAACATAAGTAAATCGTGATTGGAAAATCATTCAATATGGCTGAATTAATTGAAAAATCTGTTAGATTGTAAATTTTAAATTTCCTTTACCTTGTTCGAAATGAATGGCAGCGGTGGCTCGAATAGAGTGACCTGTACGGCGCTGAAGCCTCTGCATTGTCCTTCATACAACACCAACTGAACGCTAGAAAAATAAAAAGCTATTTTCGATGCTGCTGGGATTTTTACAGAACCTAAATCTAATATACACTGAATTTGACCAGCACTCGAGAGGACCGTGATGCCATCAACTGTGACAATCTTCAAGAAATACTAGAGAAAATTAAGCATAACGCAATATCATTTATAATATTAAATTTTGTTCGTAGAACCACTTATAGATACTATGTAGTTCAGTCCAGAGCTTTGATTAAATTGGTAAATAAATTAACGCATTTCTTAATAAGCAGCTTGAATTTTTCAATTACGCTGGAATAACTGAGCTGATAATAAAATGTCTTCTAAATTACAGGCGAACGTCATTAATTCACGCCAAACAATTCGGTGCGCCCAGTACCGAATTAAATTTTATTATCATAAAATTTCTCAATGCTGTACTTCTTTAAGGGATGAATGAGGGTTGTTAGCATTGTTGCGTTTCAAGCGACTCATATCTGCTCAATTAGACAAGCCTTTTACTGAAGTTTTTGCTATAACACGCCATTGAATTATCTATACAAATTAGTGATCGACTTCCACATTTCTAACACTTACTCAATTAATTTTTCATTGCTCATTGCGAGCTGCGCCTCCTGCAAGGTTGCGGGATCAAGAGGCGACAAGAACTGGATGAGAAGCTGCGTCAGTTCCCCCTCGAAAATTCGGGTCTCTAAAAAAAAGAAGGATAACTTGAACTCACCAAGAATACAAGCAGGCAAATTTTGTAAACGTTTCTGTACCTACACTGATCCGGGTAGGCTTGAGGCGGTAAAATGAGCTTTTGATTATCATTTATGAATGTTCAATTTTGAAAGAGAAAGACAATTATAAAATATGAATATAATTTTACTAGATAATTATAATGTTGACAGTCTCCAGCCAAAAAAAAACATTTCAATAGACTTAAAAAAATAAATCAATATCGAGAGTGCTCCAGAAATCTTAGGCTTCTGAAACAATACGAAGGTAATTTGGAAGACAACTTAAAACACGATAATAAAATATTCATGGCATTTTATTTTATCTTTTTTTGGTGAAAAAAGAGACCTTTAGGTTATTTGTGAGATGCTTTAAACTTCTTAATTTGAAAATTGATAATCGTTTCATTGGGGATGAGTGGTGAGACAATTTTCAATTATATGGACAAAAAAACAACAATAATAAGATATGCATCGGAAATAAATTTCACTCAACGGAAATTTTTCACTTTTTATCCATTACGAATTGGGTCATTTCACTCCTTTGTAATCTAAGCTAGACCACACATTGCCTCTTTAGCTTCAATTAAACTAAAAAATTTACCTACGGTGACGGAAGGCAGACATCTTGATTTACCGTTCTAAAATATACGCTTTTCTCTTACACTGCTACGCAGACGTCAGGGGTGAAGTGACCTTAATTACCTGTATAATAATAAAGTGTATATTGTAGGGTAACATGGGGCAGCGAGCCCACTGCGGGTCATGGGCCCATAGCGGGTTTCTCGCTAAGTATGGCAGATATTGGTCCGTGTTCTCTACCGCCGGTCGACAGTTTCACTGGGATGAAGTGTACGGATTTACGTTTTGCTAAATATTTGCGTTATTAAGTTCTTTGCGAATAACTGTTTTAGTCCAGACTTTTTACAAAATAGTGTTTCATTAAAAATCGAATAACTCTATAGGCGTCTAATTCACATCATACATTCCTCATTAGTTGCACCTTTAAACAAAACAAAGAACCACCACATAGCAATTAAAACTTCATCAAAAATTTAGTTTAAAAAAAGTGGGGGGCGCGCTGCCCCACGTTGCCCTACCTGATTTCTTACCTGGTAAGCTCATGGGCTCAGCGACACCCAGTAACAGCAGTCCTAGAAATAAATATGACTCCATTCTGACTCTTTTTTCGTATAAGATTAATTCGAAATGAAGTCAGATTAAGTAGCAGTTTCTATTGTTTCGTTAGTCCTAGCAATAGTCCGGAAAGTTTTTCTTTGCGCAATTAAACTTGTAAACACTCAATTATTTCTTCTTCTTGATTGTTAGAAATCCTATGAAGTGTGGAGCAGTAAGAACCCGACGCTAGCTAACTACCGATGAATGCAGGCGAAGATTTCATGAATTTATAGTGTTACACTGCACAGCCTAGGAGAGTTTCCCACTCTGATAACGTTATCCCACCGGCTGTTCTATCTCCAACACTCTCGTGCTAAGACGCCAATGCCACAGAAAGGCGCCAATGCACGTCTTGTTTCACAGACCCTTGAAGTCTCGGTTGAGTTTTACTTTACTGACAGCACGAAGAAAATGCCGTCAAATAATAAATATTTTCATTTATACAATCAATTACAAGGACAGAATAGGGGTTGTAATTCGTTACTTTCATTGATCACACACAATATCATGTAAGAGTTCTTGTCGTCATTCATTTATCATCCATGAAGAAAGCCTTTCCGCATATCATTCCAGTGTAGCCAACACGTTAAATGTAAACGGAGCAATAGGCTACATCACATGTTGTTTTTGGTCATCTCCCACTGGAAGCTGTAGTCACATGTTCCATGACGACCTCTACCACTGGACGCTGTAGTCTCGTGTTCCATGACGACCTGTCCCACTGAACGCTGTAGTCTCGTGTTCCATGACGACCTGTCTCACTGGAAGCTGTAGACTCGTGTTCCATGACGACCTGTCCCACTGGAAGCTGTAGACTCGTGTTCCATGACGACCTGTCCCACTGGAAGCTGTAGTCTCATGTTTCATGACGACCTGTCTCACTGGAAGCTGTAGTCTCATGTTCCATGACGACCTGTCTCACTGGAAGCTGTAGACTCGTGTTCCATGACGACCTGTCCCACTGGAAGCTGTAGTCTCATGTTCCATGACGACCTGTCTCACTGGAAGCTGTAGTCTCGTGTTCCATGACGACCTCTACCACTGGACGCTTTAGCCACATTTTTTTCTGACACCCTCGCCAACTGGATGCTTTATGCTACAACATACCGCATTTCAGGGACAAATTTCGTGCCAGGTTAGTCTTGGCACAAAATTGTTCTTTGCTCACACAAGCGAGTCATCATCCTCTCGGAGTTTAGCGATAATTATACGGATGAGTTAAGCAATTTAGAATGCGTCGCACATGGACTCACTCTCACTTGGAACCCTCAAAATCAGAAGTTCAACATAAATACTGCAACAGGTGATCTTCTATTGAAATTAATTGCTCAAATGTTACAGCTACATAAATGTTGATGCATCCCTTTAAAATCCACCCGTGTACTATACCACCACCAACCTGTAACCACCAGCTTAGCATATATGCACAATATCTGTACTACACGACAGGTGACCTGCTGAGCGCCCAGCGCACCGAGTTTGATGCACAAAATAGACGATTTACAATTGCACCATCTTAATAGAACAGCGTCAATAATATTGCCCACTTTTCGAGCCTGGTCGTCCAATAATGATAATAAAAGGACGCTTGCGTAGTTCGTACCATCCACGAGTATTATAATATTTATTTAGGATAATAAAACTTTAAGGATTCTGTCAACAAACTGCTTTTTATTACAAAAAAAACATTTCCGATAGAAAATGATGATAAGAAAATATATAGCGAATTCAGGTATACTTACATTTGTTGAAGCGAAAACAATTACAACGACACTGCTTTTGAGTACTTCTTCGATTATTTCTTAGGAAAAAAAAAAGAATTCGGAGTCGACCGGCATTTTTAAAATCGATGCTTCTCCTGGAATGGATTAACGCAGAATTTCATGTTGTTACCACTGCAACAGAGAGCTTCGACTCAGAAGTATTCTAATTATTATTTACCTCAGATGTATTTTTATAAGTGAATAGTGTAAATAATTATACTATCTTCTCTATAGATTAGTAACTATCAGTCTGGCTACTAAAACTACAGGTAATCAGACAGATGAGATTGGTAACGTTATATCGGCTAAGTGCTCCACATCCCAGTTCGTCAAATTGCCAGGCGACGACCACGATATACAACACACTTGGTTTACGGGGCCTGATAAACATGTTGTGCCTTCCCATAGTAATTACAACATTTTCTGATATTTAGTACGAGCTTCTTATGATCGAATATTTGCACGAATGCATTCATCAGGCGAGCGATAAGACGGAGCCAAGCACGGCGCCAAGCAACAGATGGTGCATGGGATTTTGCGCGTGCGCACCAGTTGAACAACAAGAATCAATTAGTTCATAAACTGAAGAATCGATAGATTGATCGACTGGATAATCGATAGGCTGATCGACTGGAAAATCGATAGATTGATCGACTGGAGAATCGATAGGCTGATCGACTGGAGAATCGATAGGTTGATCGGCTGGAGAATCGATAGGTTGAACGACTGGAGAATCGATAGGCTGATCGACTGGAGAATCGATAGATTGATCGACTGGAGAATCGATAGGCTGATCGACTGGATAATCGATAGGTTGATCGACTGGATAATCGATAGGCTGATCGACTGGAAAATCGATAGGCTGATCGACTGGAGAATCGATAGATTGATCGACTGGATAATCGATAGGTTGATCGACTGGAGAATCGATAGATTGCCCGACTGGAGAATCGATAGGCTGATCGACTGGAGAATCAATAGATTGATTGACTGGAGAATCGATAGGTTGATCGACTGGAGAATCGATAGATTGATCGACTGGAGAATCGATAGATTGCCCGACTGGAGAATCGATAGGCTGATCGACTGGAGAATCGATAGATTGCCCGACTGGAGAATCGATAGGCTGATCGACTGGGGAATCGATAGATTGCCCGACTGGAGAATCGATAGGCTGATCGACTGGAGAATCAATAGATTGATTGACTGGAGAATCGATAGGTTAATCGACTGGAGAATCGATAGGTTGATCAACTGGAGAATCGATATATTGATCGACTGGAGAATCGATAGGCTGATCGACTGGAGAATCGATAGGCTGATCGACTGGAGAATCGAAAGGTTGATCGACTGGAGAATCGATAGGTTGATCAACTGAAGAATCGATAGGCTGATCGACTGGAGAATCGATAGGTTAATCGACTGGAGAATCGATAGGCTGATCGACTGGAGAATCGATAGGTTGATCGGCTGGAGAATCGATATGTTGATCGACTGAAGGATAGATAGGCTGATCGACTGGAGAATCGATAGGCTGATCGACTGGATAATCGATAGGTTGATCGACTGGAGAATCGATATGTTGATCGACTGAAGGATAGATAGGTTGATCTACGGGGGAATCGATAGGTTAATCGACGGCAGAATCAATAGGTTGATCGACCGGATAATCGATAGGTTGATATACTGGAGAATCGATAGGTTGATCGACTGGAGAATCGATAGTTTGATCAACTTAAATGCGAAAGTTGGGTCATTTTATATATGTACTACAGTTTAATTACCGGAAGAACCGACAGTTTAATGAAAGGAAGAAATACAGTTGATCAACTTAAATACGAAAGTTTGATCAACTGAAAAATGGACAACAGAAAAGGCAGATCCAGCAAGTGGACAATTATTTTTGCATTTGTTTTTCTCTTTGTATTATTGAGTCGAATTATAGGTCCGAAAGTTTGCGTTTTGCATGATATTGTTTCAGTGCATAGCAGGTGTTCAATTTTTATAATAATTTTTAACAATTTCACACATATTTTTCATCAAGCTGAGTTGAGTTATCGAACTTATCAATAAAAAACCACCTAAAATGCCTGGAACATGTTCATGAACACGAGTACCTACAATAAGCGTAAACAATTCAAAATAATCAACCAACAAATTCATTCAAAACACCTGGAGCTGAACGTTGCCAAGCAGTACAATTCATTTGAGGTGAGAGTGGGAAACAAAGCAGTAGAGAGACGCGAGGAATAGCAAATTGTTTGACTGTGTGTTGATTAATATGAGAAAATTGCATTCAATGTTAAAGCAGTCGATTCGTTCACAGTCAAATTTAGCGGCTCATGATCAGAGGAAGGGGCAAGTAGACTAAAAGGTTTATTAAACATTTATCGTGCAAGAAGGGGTGGAAAAGTTCAATCGCTTACTGCCATTGAAAAAGAAATTCTTCTTGTATAATATTTTGTAGCGATGGCGGCTAGGCGAATGAAATTTATCTTCTTTAGAAAGTAAATTGGAGAGCTACAAGGTAATGAGTAAAAATGTCAAAATCGAAGAAGTACTTTCACAAAGTTGATGTAAAAATTCTGATGAAAATAAATTTCGACAAAATTTTTTGTTTATCTAATATGAGAAAATATATGATATATTTGTAGATTTGGAATGAAAAGCATCTATCGGTGATCTTCTTCTAAGATAATTTTGCATAACTGAATTACTAAATGCTAAAGAAGAATTGCAATTATTTAAATAGTTCGTTGAAGTTACGATGACAAATACTAAATAAATATTTTGGATGCCTTGTTTTAAAAATTTTGTTCGTATATATTTAACAACAACACCAGGGTTTTGTGATTCAATTGTTTGAACCGAAAATAAGTTCACCTCTAAAACAACTTCTACTTCTCCTGAGTAGGGAAACTGAGATTTAAGGAAGACTTTTCCTGGTGTTAAAAGCATAATTATACTCAAATAAGATCTATAATTGGTTAATTATACTTCGCCCCAAGGTCGTTCCCAATTCGCATATCTCATCTGCATCGACGCCACCATAGGAACACTCCCGTGATTCCCATGCCGAGATGACGACCGACTTCTGCGCAAGTCTCACGATAAGTAACAATATTTTGGCGTCTCCCAGGCGCGTCCTGGTCTTATCAATTTTGGGAACAGATAATTATATGCAACAGGAATGCTACGTCGAACGGTCATATCTGGTGACGATCATCTGCTTTGCACCTATTTTATTAAACACTTTTGATTCCAATAGAAATTGGCAAAAGCTGCGATGCTATTCCGCTCCTTATCTCTAAAACAAAAATCTTCATCATCATACGTTATCAAACATGATCAAAAGATATATTCCAAAATAATTAACAGGAAGATAATTAATCAGTCGTACGCAACGGCAGGATATCACACAAA